TTTGAATGATAAAATGGTAACGCGTTTGCAAAATTTCATGAATAAAAAGTAATAAATTGATAAGGAAGAACGCTTGGGGGGATGAAATTTTCATTCTTATTCGAACGTTTCATTTCAATTTGGTAGTCGAAAAAACATTTATGCATGATATTCTAGAATGAAAACGATAAAAATTTTTTATTTATGTCTGGAAAATGTGTTTGTATAAAAGCAATAACTTTCTACATGCACCTGTAGAAAATGTGCAATGTATCGATTTAGTATACTTTAGGTATTCTATATATATATTTTGAATATTATATAATATTTCATTTTTAAAATTTATAATATTTACAAAATATAAATTTTTTAATATAAAAAATTGTTATATTCGAAAAGTTTAAGTTTATGAATTTTCACACTTACAACATTAAAAATTCCAGATTTTCAAGTTTAAGAACTTCAAATTTGGAAATTTCATGTTTACAAACACATGCAAATTGTTAAATGCACAAAAAGCCTTCAGAAGTTTAGAAATTTTCTAGATGAAAGTAGATCCATTTATATGGCCCTTCTTATTCAAAGCCAAATAGTTCACAGCTGTACTTCGAGCAACAAAGTTCGAGACATTTCATTGTATTCATAACAGCGACACTAGAAATAATCGTTTCGTATTCTGTTAAAAGCTTCGTAGTTGAAAATGTTTCGAAACTTTACAATTAATGATGTTATTACTCATGTTCAATTAGGACTTTTTTGTTTACTTAAGAAAGTTCTATACGTGCTGAAGTCTGACCTGAATTTTGTCAACACCCTGTACATGAATACACTATAAGAAAGTGTAATGTACTGAAGTAAACTAGTATAGAGTTCTGAAATATTAAAAACGTACGTGGAAGTAAAGTGGTGCAAAGTGGAATAAATGTGACGGTAATTTGTACGAGGGAATAAGCTGTTAGTTGCGATAACCGTTCTCCGTAAAGTAGAATAGAATATCTTTGTGTATATAGCGGAAGAAGTATGTAAAGTTGAAGCACGTGAAATGTAGAACTATAGCGTACACACGAACATAAATTATGTTCGTAACAACATAAATGAAGACATTTTCAAAGAATAAAGAAGAATCTGTGGTCGTTGACACGATAATTTCGCTTGTACTGAATTTTCAAACGTACAAATTCTGACACAGTTTCATGACATAAAAGTATTTCAAAGTAACGCTTGTGGCATATCACTGTAAAGCTTAAAGTTCGAATAAGACAACTGTGCAAAGCTTTCGTGAATGCTTCCAACACAAAATAATTAACATTTGTAGCGAACAGTATTACGTATCAGTCATAAAATTTAATAAGTCTGACAGAATTTCATGGCATAAAAGAATCTCAGAATAACGCTTGTATTATATCAATGTAAAGTTTAAAGTTCAAATAGAACAGCTGAGCAAAGCTTTCATGAACATTTACAATATAAAATAATTAATGATTTACAACAAAGTGTATTATTGCATATTGATTGTAAAATTTTGAAAAAGTTTGACACAATTTCATGACATAAAAGTATCTCGAAATAACATTTATGGTATATCAAATTAAAGCTTGAAACTTCATAGAAATAAGCGTATAAATGGCTCGTTGATATTCCCAATACTAAATGACTGATCAATATTTGAAGCAAACAATGAACCGAAGTGAAATTTGCTTACTGTTTCTCTGCAAATGGTACGATTTGATGACATAATTGCAATGTAGCACTTATGTAATCATGAAAACGTTTATGTAATCATTTTCCTTAAACTTCAAGCTTCAAATTGATGTGCCACAAGTGATGCTTTGAGATACTTTTGTGTCATTAAATTGTACCACTTATGTAGGAACATTATGCAAATTTTCTTGTGGTTTGTTGTTGTAATGGATAATGAGCCATTTTGTATTAGAAATATCGACGATATGTTTATATAATTATTTTTGTTATACTTAGCTGCAATAATTTCAAACTTCCTATGTTTCTTTATCTAAACCTCTCAAGTTTAAATTTTTCGCAAAAAGATGGAAAAACATTTTAGAATGCATTTTATTAATAATATTATAGCTTTTTATGCTTAAAATATCTTTTCAGAAAAGTAGATAACCTTCAATTTTTTACGTCAACGAAGAAAAACTGTTGAATTTTTATTATGATTTTTTAAATCAGTGTAAACACATTCCATGAATATTTTACTTTCATCTTTTAAAAGTAGACTACTCGCGATTAAGCATTCTTAAAACAAATTAAAGCTTTAATTCATTTTTATAATGTTATTCCTCGCATTTATTAGCTCGTATAATCTCCCTTCTTGTTATAATTTAATTTCCATTTGCGTGTTTCGTTTAATTAAATTCATAGCTGATAAAATATTTCTTCGCGAATCAGTTCGATGGCCTGCGTTTTAATTCTTGAATAAATTGAATCATTTTTTCTACGTATTAATTAAATTGAATATGACATGATGCTATACTTTTCACAGATTAATAGTTTGGTAACAAAATAAATAACTTAATCTAGGCTACTGCGTACAAACTGAACCACTTCTTTGTTTTTTTAATATTAAATAACCGATTCCGAAATTTTGATATAACATAACCAAGTTGAACTCCGTTTATTTTAACTGCAGTAAAATTTAGCCCAATACACTCTTTAGTCTTTTTAAGGTTTAATGATGTAGTTGCAAGTCACTGTTAGTATTCCTGTAAAAAAGTAACATATAAATTATAAAAATTGTGTTTGAATATAAGAATGTACTTATGAAGATTGTAAGGAGTTTGTTATATTTATGTTACTCAGATGAATGAGTCGTGACAAATATTAGTTTCAACATTATTATTACTTTTATTTGAAGTGATACATGTATACAAACAAATTCAGGATCATTTACCGCGATGTCGCTTCAGTGACTATTTGTGTAATTTGAATACGCGGTAATTAAGGGAAAGAGACGGTGTTCTGCTCTCAATGAAATTAAAAAGCATACATTTCAAATGTTAACTAGAAAAGTGTTCGCTCGTTAGAGAAAATTTATAACACGTGACTACACAACGCGTGACGATATAATTATTACCATATAACAGTAAGATAATAAGATCAAAAACTTATAATTCAACTGGATCTAATCTCACAGATAAATTTATTATCTAAATTATTCTTGGTACGTTAAATTAGGTTTGAAATGTAAACACGAATGAACAGATACAAACGATTAAATTATGTTAGGCAGTTTGAAATTTAAACAAAAATAAATAAATTTCTGTGCTTTAGTTAATACCAGTTATGTTTCACTTTAATCGTTTGTTTCAATCGGAGTTCCGAAATTTTTAATTACCTTATTGGCAATGAAACAGTTAAATTATAGTCGGGAATTTAATGTCTCTTAATTGCGGATTAAAATGCATTCGTTAATTAAATGTTTTGATTGAAAATTGTATTTTGATTTTCAATTCAAACTTATCCTATTAAAAATTGAATTATTTTAATTAACGATTAACTTTCAATCCTTGATTGAAACTTCTTTTGATTATAAATACAGTTTTTTAATTCTAATCTGAAAATAAATTTTTTTCATTAAATTGTATGTTTTCTAATATTAATATTTAATTGTTGAAAATCAATCGCTAGTGATTGGTAAAGCTCTGAATTAAAATTGACTATCAATCTTTGCTTTAGCAAGTTTTAATTAAAAATTTGATTATATTTTCAATTAGAAAATCGATCAATCATTTTTAATGTATAATACATGTATTTAAGCGAATAATATATCTGAACATTGGTCTGAAAAGACAGACGTTATTGTAACACGAATATTTTATTATCTAATCATTTTACTATTTTATTATCGCAGTGCTTTTCTGTTCTACTGCTTTATTCTATTATTTTCCTGTTTCATTATTCCGCTACACTTCTGTATTATTTTACCATTATTCGAATATTTTACATTATATACAATTATTATATTATAATACTATTGTCTTATTGTTTGATTATACCTCTATATATTACTATTGTATTTAAGAATACAATATCTGTTTACCTGCATTTTTTTTAGAGGCACAGGTGTTATACGATCATTTTATTATTTTAAACTTTTACTACATTGTTATTGCAGTATTGTACCCTTTTACATTGTTATTGCAGTATTGTACCCTTTTACTATTTTACCGCGGTTACGTTTGACTATCTGTGCCATTTTATCATTTTATTATTCTATTATTTTCCATTTGATTACTTTACTATTTTATTATTTCTGATATTTTACTATTTTATCATTTTACTGTTCCATTATTGTACTATTTAATTATTCCATTATGTTAAATTATTATATTATCCCACCGGACTACTATTCTATTATTTCGCACTTCACTATTTCATTCTTTTACTATTCTATTTAAGCAAACGTATTTTTGATCTTGTCAAAAAATTGCAATTAAAAATTAAACATTAATCGTTAGTTAAATAAAAAAGATAATCAGCCATTAGTAATCCTGTGCTTAACGGTATTATCGACATATCATTAAGTATCAACAAGCTATCGATAATTCATCACTAGTCGATAGCAACAGCCAGCAGCGAACAGTGATACCTATAGCCGACCGTAGACAGCTATAAACGTAGTCGATAACATTTAAAAAATCATACAGCAGCAGTCATCCAATTGCAGTGAAACCGAACGATTAACTTCCAAACGATTTCTCCGAATTCACGCATCGGTTAGAGTATAGCGAGCCGCCATTGGTAGGGTGACGCTCGAGGGAGAAGTATCGTGAGGGTGCAGAATATGCCGGATGGCATCCCGAAGGGCGACACGAGGGGAATAGTAACCAGTGGTGGTGGTTACGTTTGTATATCCCCCCCACCGAGTTGGTTGCGACGAGGAGGGACGCCGCCGACGCCACCGACGCCGCCGACGCCGTCGCCATCACCACCACCGCAGCCATCGTCACCGACGTCAGGACACCGTGTGTGAATTCACTTTCCACCGTCGTCTCTATCTCTCAGTTACCAACAGACCGTGCGATCGTTCGCATCGGAGACTTTGAGAAGCAGGAACGAGAGAAAGAGACCTCGGTATATGTGTATGAATGCGCGCGAGAGAGAGATCGAGATAAAAGTGCAAAAGAACGCGAGAGACGTGGAGAGAAAAAGAGAGAGAGACACGTTACAAGGCATGCCGCACAGTCTCGCCTGAACAAAGGAAGGCTCCCTCAACCGAGGGTCGTTTCCGATCGACGAACCGTCGGTTCCCCTTCGTTCGCCTTCGGCGCGCCTCGTGCGGCACAAGCATTTACGAAGCGGTCAGTCACGTAGCAGCGGCCGAGCTGTGAGGAACAAAGAACGGAAGGAACAGAAAGAGAGAGTGTGCCAGCGAGAAGGAAGCGTACGTCTGTGTGAACACCGGCTCGCCCCGGTGAATAAAACAAAGGGAAATTGACCAGTATTATTGTGCTCGTTACACGCAGTTTCGTTCGTACGAAGGAATTTCCAATTCTGTCGGAGCGTTTTCGTGCACGATACACGTTATCGTTTCGCGTCGTGTCGTGTCGTGCCGTGTCGTTACAAACCCGAAGTTGACTCGAATGCCGAAGAGGCGCTCTTTTCGCGTGTGTGCCCTTTCGTTCTCGTGTTCGCGAGCCTACTCGTCGATCGAAGCAAGTTTCAGACAGCAAGCTGGAGATTTTTAATTGCCGGTCCTGTGCGTGCGGTGAGAAACGAATTATAGGACGTACCGGCGACCTAACCTAGAACGACCGCTCGCCGAGGGGTAGATCGCCGCGCGTACACGTTCTTAAACATTCGCGCGCGTACCGAAGCCACGGTGACGAATATATAAAGACAAAAGTGACTGGAAGACAAGAGTCTCTGTTCGATATCTTTTTCTACTCACCTTTACTTTTATGTGACATGTCGTGCTACGAATACGCAGTGTACGCTTGAAAATATACGTACGGAATTGTTTGATCGAAAAGAAGCGTTCTTCCGTTCGACTACGTACGGATTATCCTCGTTTTTACGGTGAGTTTATGTTTCTTTTCTTGTTTGTGTTCGTGGTTATGGAGTGTTCGTTGGAAATGAACAGCGCGGGTAAATGATTTTCGTTTGGGCAGCTAGAATTTCAAAGATTCTAGAATAATCCTGTACGATGTGCGATTATTATGGGAAGCGTGACTTATTTCAAGCGCGTTGGGTAGGAGTGGTGCTGTTTGTTGTCCTTCTGACATTTCCCGTGTCAATAACTGAATTACGTGCTTGTCGAACGAATTGCAGACTTCGATTTTTAATTTTTTGTTTCTTTTTTCTGGCGTAAGTAATATAATATTATTGCAAAATTTAGATTTGACACTTTCGATTTCGCGCGTTTGAAAATAAGAAAATTGTAGCACACGTTTTTTCATTTATAAACAGTGTAACATTAAGAAATTTATATTTTCAATTTGACACGATCGAAAATAAAAAATAGTAACGTATTAATTTTCATACTTCTTCACTTATGGATAATTTACTGTAAGAAATTTAAATTTGATGCTTTGGATTTGTAAATAAAAAATGGCGGCGTACCAACTTATACACGTGATTTACAAAAATAATATTAAAAAATATAGGTATATTTATACAAATATTTATAAATATAAATATTTCATAGTATTTTATTCAGAAATATTATATTACTAAGAAATTTAAATCTAGTATCTCTATTTCGACAATAAGTAAATAAACAATGGCGGCGTACCAACTTACACACGTGACTTACAAAAATAATATTAAAAAATATAGGTATATTTATAAAAATATTTATAAATATTATACTACTAAGAAATTTAAATCTAGTATCTGCAATTCGACAGTAAGAAAATGGCGGTATATTAATTCTTAACCTTGTTACTTGCGAATGTAATGTTAAAATATTTAGGTTTTATATTTTTAATTTGACACGTTTAAAAATAATAAAATTATAACGTATCAATTCCTACATTTTTTCGTTTCTGTATATCAACGTTAAAGAAAATAAATGAGAAAATAATAAAAGTACAACGTACTGCTTTAGTCAAAATATCATATAAACGCGATACGATATTATAAGGTTAAGAAATTTACATCTAATTGACGCGTTCGGAAATATGAAAATTACAGCTTAGCTATTTTTACGTTTTTCCATTCATAAAGATATTTGTGTAAAATGTAATTCGTAGAAGTACGATATCTTTATAGCTGATTACAAGCGAATTCAGATTGCCGAGCGTTATACCTATGATTCATAAAACTGATGCTTTTGTTGTCGTCGTCGAAAGGTATATTGCAAAGTTGCTTATGCATACCAACGGATAAGTCCGTCGCGTTGCGAGAAGAGGTTAATTAGACGTCGTTCCAGTAATTCGAGAGTACGTGACGTTTACCGCGTGTCGGTGACAGCAGATAATTACTCAAAAGCGTAGCTGTTAATTATACACTTTGACGCGATAATACGAAATTTCAGATAATCGCGGGATTTCGTCAATCTAATAATGCAAAGCTTCATTAATAGCAGACAGATTAATTTTTAATTACATTATACGCAGAGTGACTACTCGTCATGACCTTGTCCGTATTGTATGTACTAATTTTCGAGTGTGTTGATTAAAGACTTTTAAATTATGTATATTGATTTTATATTGGTGGGAAACCCATCTTCGAAATGGTTTATCTAAACTTAAATATAAACGGAGTATTATCATAATAATTTTATAAATTATATTAAATTATACAAATTAGATAGCATTATAAATTACATAGATTATATAAATTAAGTTGTATTGTAGATCACATAGCTTGTATAATACATTATTTAATTTTTTAAATTTATGCACATTTACAAATAAAATTTTGTTTTGAATAAAATGAACTAATAAAAAAAATCATTTTTTTGATGATAATTAACACATTAAATGATTCAGTTAGTTAACCAAAAAAATTCTTTTCATAAGTTTTAAACTTGTCTCAATAAAATTTTACGTCAATTAATTCGCTGTTAATTTGAAAATGCCTCACACGTGATTAACGTGACGCATATTTGTAAAATCTTGACACGCACATAAAAAGGTTCGTCAACACTAATTTAGAAGGGATCCAAGGGTAATTTGGGTAGAATTTAGGGGGAATCCAAGGTTAGTATAGGGGGAACTCACGGAACACGTTCGAATACTGAATAACGGATATAGAGACACTTTGCTGAAATGTGTATGATTACACAGTCTAGCCTGTAAGTGTTATGACCACATTTGTAAAACCAATTCCTCGGCGATGTTCTCCAATGTTTATTCAGAGAAGTGTAGCATGTTGAAAGTATAATCAATTTTTTTAGTTCCAACAAACCTACCTGTTATATGATAATGGCTTAAATAATGAATTTAAAATGCCAAATGATTAATGTTTAAGGAAACCGATAAAAAAGATATATGTACCGCAATAATTACAGATATTTCCTTGTTCTTTAGTTTTCTTTTTTGAAGGTAAATGAAGCATATGATTTATCGAATGTATCTAATTAAATTAAATGAAATATATTAATTTTTCACAATTTTTATTATTAAATTTAATATACAAAATTGTATTCCAGTTCTTTATCGAACTTGTTCATATATAATTAGCAAGAAAGAACGATGTAAAGTTCCTTAAGTTTTTCTTGCCCTAGACAAGAAATTAATTTGTATGAGATCGAAGACGATTATAGGCTCAAATGACCCGCTGTTTGTCTGGACTCTGGTATTCATGCATTTCTCTTGGAAGTAAATCGGATTTCTGTATAAACGTGCTCGAGAGAAGCGGCAATAAAGATCCATCGAGATCAAGAGGGTTTGGTGAAACTGATTTTATACCTACACTGTCGAGTGTCTTCCACTCGCGTCGATGATTCATTCTCGAATGAAATAATGCGCATTCGTCGACAAAGGCCGTGCATTGATTTCCCCGGTAAAGAGATTCCCAACAGTGAACGGCAGCTCGTTGAAAAAGATTAGGTTGTGGATTGGAAAGGAAAGGGACGGATGGGAATGGACCGAGAACCTTGAAAAACATCAATTTCTGTATCATGAGAGTACAATTCAAATTTATATATCAACTGTAGAAATAAATTCTGTGACCGTGCAGTTCTGTATGTAGCTATGTAACGCGTGGGTAATATAACGCGATAATTTCATGTGAGGCGGTATACGCTGTTGCAATTCTAAACGTGGCAATACAACGCATAGAAACTCCACTCGTGGCAATATAACGCATAGAAACTCTACGCGTCGCAATATAACGCTTAGAAATTGCATCCATGGCAGTTAAAATGCATAGAAATTCAACGCGTTGCAATATAAGGTATAGAAACTCCATGCATGGCAATGTAACGCATAGAAATTCCAAGCGTGGCAATACGACGCATAGAAACTCCACGCGTGGCGATAAATCGCATAGAAATTCAATGCGTAGCAATATAACGCATAGAACCTCCAACGCGTGGCGATATAACGCATAGAATCTCCATGCGTGGCGATATAACGCATAGAATCTCCATGCGTGGCGATATAATGTATAGAAACTCCACGCATGGCAATATAACGGATAGAAACTCCACGCATGGCGATATAACGCATAGGAATTGCAGCCATAGCAATATAGTACATAATAACCTCGCTTGTGCTAATGTAACATTCAGTAATTCTACACGTGGCTATATAATGCGCAACAATTTCACGCTTGGCTATATAACAGGTGGAAATTCCATACATGGCAATATCATGTGCAGTAATATAATTCGTATCAATTCGACGCTTGATATTATAGTGCATGATGATATATTCTATGTGTGGCGATATAACACGAGGTATTCCCATGTACAGAAATATAATGCTTGATAATATAACATGGAAATTCCATATATAGTAATATAACCTATGGTAATTTCATACATGGTAATATAAACGCGGGCAATATAGTATGTAGCCATTCTATGCATAGCAATATAACACAAAGCAATTCCATATCCATATCCATATATCGTGTTATAGTGCATGACAACTCCATACATAGTATCTGTGATGATGCAAAATCTTTAAATTCCTAAATACAAAAATTGCAAAATATGTAAGTTTATCAATTTTTAAATAGCAAAATTTCTAAATTTGCTAATTTCTTAATATGGAAACGTCGAAATTTCAAAGGTTGTAGAGTTGTTAATATTAAAATTTTTAATTGGAATATGTTAATTTGTGAATTAAAAGATTTAAGAATTTGTAAATTTGAATATTTGTACAATCGCAAATTTAAAATTGATCCTTAAAAATTTTCTTTTTAATTAAAAAATATGAAAGTAACTATTTCTACACCTACTATGTTTTTCCACTTATGTTCCTGATTTTGTGAACAGTAATATGACACATGTTGCGTGAACACTTACTCTCGTGTGTATTTACTCTCTTTCCGGTTAGCCAGGAAACCCAGTGTACAAATTCTTCTACGAATTCGAAGAAATGTTTTATAACAGCCCTTCCCACGTTTTTCTATACCTTTTCCCTCAGGGAAGGGTCCCGCATTCCTGAATGACGCGCAGACTCGTGCCTAAGTTTCCAGGCTTCTTCTATTACGAGAGAAACCGGTTTTCCTAGGAACTGAAACAGTCAGTTTTCCAAAATGCATGAGTTGCATTAGAAGCGAGTGACTCGAAAGCTGGCATTCTCTTTTGTATCATGTCCCTATCGTTCTGCATTTACACTCGATCTACACTGTCGATTCGTTTCCGATTCGATCACATTACTTCATTTACTCCAAAACTCGTGTACAAACTTTCGAGATTATACGAAAAAAAGACTGACCTATCCTTCATGCTATTTGTCTATATTCTTTGTTACAATCCAGAATATTTGATCTACATTATTCGTTGATCCTGTAGGACAAATATTTTAATCGCATCTTATTATGAGTACATTCTTCTTTATCTAATTTTAATGGAACACTTTCATAGGAAATGGAGTATATATATTTTCAAGTAGATTATT